TCCCGGTTCAGGATAAATTTGCACTCTGGTTCACTTTTGCCTGTGTTTGGCAACACTACATTTATGCATTGACAAATGACAGAAAACATATTTTTCAATGCATATTTACATTGATAATAAGATGTAAAAGTACATCAATCAAAAAGAAGTAAATTTGAATTCAAATGGATTTTTGATAAAAAAAAAGGCATATGCTTTATTGGAATTCATATTTGCATCCATTACGGCTAAAAGTCTATTTGGTAAAAGGGTAAATTTGTCAGTGCAAAACTAACCCAACTTTACAATTATGGACTGTTTTACACTCTACGTATTTGCATTCACACTTATTTGCATCGTTTCCAAACGCAGCCTTATTACTCTTCAATGGTTTGGCCATTATTGCATGATATTTACAGCTATCAAGTTCTCTCATGTTAGCTGGAGAAAAATATCACCAGCGCTCATGCTTTTGCTGCAAAAGGTGGAGAAGGTTCTGTTTTTTGTTTTGCTTGGAAGCTTCCTCACCCTTGGTTGTTTGGGCTTCTGGACGCAGATGTAACTTTTGCTAGGGGTGCAAACGGATCGGATTGGATCGGCTCTTCATAGTCAAATTTGGATATACCATGATTTGGACCCGATCTGATTTGTTTGCATCTAGGGGTGTCAACTATATTTGAAAATCCGATTTCTAATTCAAGATTTGACATAATTGAATCGAATTTGGATAATTTGAATATCTAATCAGTTAAGTTTAGATATGACCTTATTTGATTTGATAAATATCCAAATTTGACCGATTATTTAATTCTTATATATAATATATAAAATATTTAAATATTTTGTATAATTTATATATATAATAATTAAATTATATAAATAATTTATATATTTGTATATTTGATATAAATAAAATATTTATTTTTTATATTTATTGATTACTTCAAATAATTAATTAGTAGAAATCAAATCGAATTTGAATTCGAATAATTTTCAATATCCATCGAATATCGAATTTTTTAATTGGATTCAAATTCGGATATTGAATTATTCGATTGGAATTCAATCTATTTACACCCCTATATCTATTTTGATGAAGGGGAAAAACTCATGCTAGAGAATCAAGCACCATTAAACACTAAATCATTATTGTAGGCAGGCCATAACCCATAACTCCCAACGAATAACAACTATTAAAGCTTACCACTTTTCTGTCCTCATCTAGGGGAAACAAAGTCAGCAATTTGAGAGTAGTTGTTGATTGAGGAGTGAGGACCTCAAACCGATAGGACTGATGAACCAGATAACACGCACAAAATCACAATAAAGCAATATACGAACTATGTCTTCAACTTTCCTCTCACACCTAAGGGCAAGAAATATCACAATCTCTAACTTTGGCTCACAACAATAATGTCATTGAAACATGCCCGATCTTCTTTTGGGATGCTAGATTCACTTGCACTATTCTTCTTCCAGTGGGAGGGTTGACACTTCTCCCCCCACCCATCATTAGTCTAACTTTGCTCTAGCAAACCTTTTGCCAAATGGTATGCTGATTTCACGGTGCACTTGCTATATTTAGTGTAGGCTCAGATTAGCTTGTCCTCCTGGTCCAAGAGGCTGAGAGCGATTGCTTCTACTTACATATTTTTTTCATCTAAAAAAAGTATGACACAATTGAAGGGATGAGAGATCTATCATATGGATGGCCAAACCCTGTAGGAAGGTTGGGCGAAATTTCAAAAATTTCTCTCTCTCCCACGTGGGAATCACATTCCTTATTTTAGAAAACTGCATTTTCAATGATTAATCTTGGACCTAAACCAGACTAGATCTGAAACCAAAAGGGAGTGGAAGGTTATACCTGATACGAAGTAACAATAACCTCCAATGAAGGTGTTCACGCCCAAGGAAAGATCGAAAGACTGCTTCCACTGACGATGATACGGTGCAGGATGAAGCAGAATTAGCAGGATGGCTCTTTAGCAAGAACCTGATTCTTCGGCATGAATCTGATGGAGGGCTAGTGAGAACGAATTCTGATTACCTTTTCTGCCAAAAAGTAATATCAAGAATACTTCTTGATTGCTCCCACAGGTGGAGATCGAACTGGTATGGCGGTAGGAATAGGAGAGAGCAAGAGCAGAAGACAAAAACAGTCAAACTGTATGTTGTCCTCTCTTTTAAATCAGTAGACTGATGAATGAACTGGAGATTCACCATGTTCCTCTATTTATAGCCTTAAAGAGAGGTTCTCCTAATCACATTAGGAGTTTCCTAATCCAAATATTGTATTTGGATCTGGACTCTCTTTAAGAGATAAGGATAATCCATTATCTTATCTACAGATAAAGATCAACCCTCTTAATCTAATTAGGAGTTTCCTGATCCAACTCTCTATTTGGATCTGGACTCTCTTTAAGAGATAAGGATAATCCATTATCTTATCTACAGATAAAGATCAACCCTCTTAATCTAATTAGGAGTTTCCTGATCCAACTCTCTATTTGGATCTGGACTCTCTGAGTGGATAGGGACAATCCCTTATCCTATTTGTTGATCTAAATCCCAGAATCGCCCATCTTTAATTAATATTATTAAGATAGTTTGAATTAGGCTTTAGGCCCATTAAGTCTATGTGCTCACTTACCCTCCAAACTGTTGCCCAGTTGGATATCCTTGTATTGCATGGGACCCAAACATGGATCTACACATCAGCCACATGGGTTTAGCCCAACCTCTGTTACAAGGCCTGGCAGAATTCACTATAGGAGACAGTGAACCCCTGAGTCCATCACCATGGACTCTTAATGGGCCCAACATTTACACTAAATGGTCATTGGGTCAAGTCACCTTATAAAAACCCAAGGACTGTGGGTAGATGCAAGATTAGCCCATCAGGTATTACCCTTAATGGTCTTACACTTAACCTCTCAGCCCATAATGATCAAACACTGCCCGACAAGAGAGGACCTCTCCCTCGGCTGCAAAGTACAGTGTTGCACTCTCTACTCACATGGATCCCGGGAATTAAAACCTTTTGCAAACTTTTCTTCCTAGATTCTAAGTGTAAAACTTTTCTTCCTAGATGAAGAAACGAATGGATAAAATTTGCAAACTGAAACATTTTAGCTATTATTTGCATTTGGGAAGAGTGCAAATACAAATATGATTGGTGCAAAACCTTTTAAATGGCATTTCTAAATCTTATATTTGCCCTATACATATTTATATTTGCACTCTTCCTTAGAATCAGTTTGGGAAGAGTACAAATATAAATATGAATAGTGTAAATAGAAGGTTTAGAAATATAATACACAAGGTTTTGCATTGTACATATTTGTATTTATACTCTTCCAAACAAAGCCTTATACTCAACACTTTGTTTTTCTACAGCCTTTTAATTCATGTTTAACAAATAGAACCTGATAATAAAACAGTGTAACAAGCCGGTGGTCACTTCTGTTCAACTAAGGGCTCATTTGGGAGGGTTGAGCTGAAGATTCAACTACGATGGTTTGGCTACTTTGAAGCACTCCAGATGAACTATTTAAAGAGGCTGAACTCTGAAGCCTGATAGCCCTTCAAAGTTCAAATGACTGGTTTTCCGTGAATTTGAACTCACTGGGTTTTTTCACCAAATATAGCTTATAGGCTGTCCTAGCAGTTGCAGGGCCACCATGGAATGCCAGAAGTTGCTGCGCTTCACCCTGCCAAATGGGCACCAAATAAAAAATACATTCATCCACAAATACGCCTGAAGTCCAAAAACTCAATTCAACATCCAATCCTGCTACTCATTATCTGAACACATTTGCACATTTCTATTGCACTGATATTGCATTTTGATATTTCCTTAAAGACAGAAAGTATATAAATACATTGAAAGGATGGCATCCAATTGTACATTAGAAACATCTCCTCATGAATTTAATTTACATTATACAAGTACGGTTTGTAAGAGAGGTAGGTAGTAGCTAGTAGCTAGGTTGTATAGTAATCCGAAGGTCCTGAAGGACTAAGGTGGTGATTGTCTTAATGTTTCAAAATGAATCCCCTGAGGTTTATATAACAGTTGGCCTTTAGGGCCTCCGGATTGGTTATTCGATCATACCAGCTCATCATTTCTGAATAGATCACGTTCTCGCACAAATGCTACACGCGTGAAGTGTGCTTCTCAGGCCTAGAATCCATCCTCATCCCTTATTAGAGGTGCAAATTGGATCATGCCTCCCGTGGCCTAGCATGATGGAACACAGGCCGTGCCAGGCATACACGATTGTATGGGTTGTGCCAGGCCTGGGGGTTCAGGTACATGGGCCGGCACAGCACAGCCTGGTCAAGTTTATCAGAAAACTAATTTTGTTTTACGCTAGGGAAATAACCGTGTACATTGTCTATTTATACTGATAAAATTGAAAATAAAATTTTGAAGGATTTCAAACTCCCACCATGTGTATTATCAACCATTGATTGAAGTAAAAATCTCACCCAAAACCTGAAGATAATTTCTTTTCAATTAGGAAGAATGGTGTAGGATGCAAAGAAATTAGCATTTATCTTAATATCACGCAATAACTAATAGTAGTAGCTGAAAGGGTTTATATCAAAAACATACCATGTGGCTTATAGCTTCTTTTTTTTCTGATATTTGGCTTAGAAATAGAGCAAGGATAGAAATTAGGAATGTTTCAAAAATTAGCAAAATGGAAAGAAGCTCAGTAAGATGATAAATGGGATGGTTAGAAGTTTAGAAGGGTGATAAGAACTAGAAAACATAAAAAAGTGTTGGTTTTATTGGTTTTGACTTTTAAAAAGACTCGTATCTTAATATAAAAAGAAAATAGATATGAAGGAAAAATGAGAATGAGGGGAATGGAATATCACCATCTTGTCAATATGAGATTTCACCATCTCATCAAACATTGGCCTCTTTTATTATCCAAAAAGGAGAGAGAGTGTTTGGGGAAACATCCATGATTTCTCATACCATTCATTTCACAGTTTGAAACCAAAAGTGACTAGCTACACTTCGCAATCTCATTTGATGCCTATTCCATTCTTGAAAGATGATGATATTCAAAATCAAAATAAACAGAATGATACATCCGTGTATCCACAAGTAAGAAACTTAAGGCAAAATTGCTTATTTCTTTTTACACTCTACAAAACACATGGGAGACATGCCCATGGAACCTGAATCGTCCAGTAATATTCAGCTTATCAGAAACTGATTGTTACAGTTGAAAATTCTAAATTCGATAGCCATAGATAGAAGATTCTAGCATACCAAAATTATGTTGGTTATAATGAAGAACAACAACAGTTTTTGTACCACCATGAGAATGTACATCATTTCTTCAATAGGGCCCGTGAGAAAATCCTCTTGCAATATGGGCTGGTGCGTAGGATGGATGCATGTGGCCGAATTGCATCAACTAATGAAGCATGGAGAGGACCCTAGTTTTAAAAAGAAGAATCAGTGAAAATATATAAATAGAAGAAATATGCATCTCAATCCAAACAATAATTAGTAAAAATTATGTCAATTGCAGGTGGTGCACATACCTTGCTAACAAGTAGTGCAGATTGAATGACATAGTTTGCAAATGGATCTTGTAGCAAGTGCTCAAATTGAGGTGATGAGAGCAATTCATGAATAATACGGGACCTATTCTCCTCTCCAAATACCTTAAGACATTTTTCTACCACATTACTGCTGAACTTTTGTGTAGAGAGGTGAACATAATTCCCTTCAAACTGAGAAATCAAATTGGTGGTAGCAGATGGGATCTTTAGCTCTAAGACATACTGAACAACATAATTTCTGAAACACAAAAAGTTCAAAGTTGATAAGTAAGATCAAACTGTTTCTAGACAACAGGAAAGTAGATATATGGGATGCAAAATGATTGCAAAAGCCCAGTTTTATCTTTTCAGCAACAGTGAATAACAAGGTGACAAAAAAGGAAGAACACCATCATTCCAGAAAGGCAAATGCATTGTTTTATATTTTTATATATTTGGGGAAGGGATAAAAAATTCCAGTTTCGGAGATTGAAAGTTTGAACATATTACATATTGTAGTCAATAGAGCCCTAGCACCATTTGAGAAGGGCTGGATGACAGAAAAGCTTAACTTTGATAGGAGAATGATGGGGTTAGTAAAAGGTAATGAAGAAGTAATGATGAAAAGGGTGCAAAGAACACTATGATCTGTAATAGCTATTGTTGACTGCTGAGTGCTGTTAACATAGCCAAGATAAATGAATTATTTATAGGCTTCAATTTCAAGAATGAATCTAAAGTAGATTGCATTCAGAGACGATTCTTCTGGTGCCATTTTCAACTCTGAGGAAATGGAAAATGGGGGTTGACTAAGGTTTAAGATACCAAAGATCTATCTGATAATCTTGTTATTTGCAGCACAAGTACAAATAGCTCTTGTCTGTACATGAACTCTTAAATGGAGCCATAATTCTCTCTTTTCATTATTTATTTTTCTTTGTTGCCAAAATAGAACCGAACTGTAAAAACTCTTTACTCATATTTATTCAATAGGAAACATTGCAACATTCATGGAAACAAAACAAAAGAATATTAAAATATAATTTAAGATGATGCCTACAAATTTAAACAGAAGTGACATGACACTGAGTGAAGAAAAATTATTTGGTAATATTTCTGAACTATATATTGTCCATCTATAGGATGTAGAATTTCAGATTAGGGGTGATCATTTACAGCCTAGCCCGCAAAACCTGGCCTAGCCTGGCCCAGCCCACATTTATTAATATATATATATAATATTCATACATATTTATCTATATGTTTTATGTTATATTGTATGTTTTATATATTAAATATTATAATATGACATATATAGTTCATATTTTAAATCATATAATTCTACACATACTATATGCATATAATATAAAATATTATATATTTAATGTCTTTATAGATAAAAGTTATAGGCCTGGAATCAGGCCTGGCCCGACTTGGGCCTGTACAGTCCCAGGTTACAGCCCTTATCACAGGTGCAAAGACCGGCCTGGGCTCGGCCCAGCCCACAATCACTTCTAATGTGTATGTGAAAAAAAAAAAACGTTTGAAAAAAGGAAATCATGTTTGAGTGGTTTTTGTTTTTAATTTTTAAATCAGTGATTACCCAACTTCAGATTTCATTACCCAAACTTGTAATCTATTTTGAAACACATCACAGAAAAGAAGTTGACTGATAAAACTTTGATAGAAAGCCTTTGATCCATTTAAACAGACCATAATCCTGTTTGTGTGGTCTTTGTTTTTAATTTTTAAGTCAGTGATTCTCCAACGTCAGAATTCACTACACAAGCTTATAATTAATTTTGATAGACATCACAGAAAAGAAGTTGACTGATAAAACTTTGAATAGTAATACTTTGATCATTTAAACAGACCATACTCGTGTAAAAGGAAAAAGCCAATATAGATCAGCATTCAAAAAAAAGAACGACATTTCACATTGATTTTTTTTTCAAATTATTACCCAAAAGCATCCTGTGCAAGAAGTAGTCCATTGGCAGAAATTCCTGCAACCAACTTCTCTCGGTGTTCTCCAGTTGAATGAGCAATGCATCGTTGCAGAACACAACAGCCATGTCGATGAGTTGCAATATCAACACAAAAATTTGCAGCAGCATCAAAAATGAACTGCCAAAGTAATTAGTGGTTGAAAAAAGAAATCTTAGATAGCTGTTCTAAATACAATAAAGCAGACTACAGTGCATAAACATTGACAAGAACCAAGAAGCTTGGTACAGAATCTACCATCCAAAATAATACTTTGGCACTTGCATATTTCTTCATTAAAAGTACTGCACTAGTTAGAACTTTGTAATTGGCTTATTCACTTTAACATTCCAGAGAAATTTGATGGGCCAAAAGAACACAACAACCATGTTGATGAGTTGCAATATCAGCACAACTTTGCAGCAGCATTGAAAATGAACTGGCAAAGTAATTAGTGATTGAAAAAGGAAATCTTAGATAGCTGTTCTAAAATACAATAAAGCAGACTAACGTACATAAACATTGACAAGAACCAGGAAGCTTGGTACAGAATATCCATCATACAAAATGAGATACTTTGGCACTTGCATATTTTTACGTTCTTTACAAGTATATGCCTTCATTAAAAATACTGCATTTTGAAGGCTCTTTTGCAAGTTAGAACTTTGTAAATGACTTGTTCACTTTAACTGTTAGAATGTTAGAGTTATGTTCGGCTGATAAGTGTTCTTATTAGCCCATTCTTATGTTTAACTTATCTTGTAACTGGGCTTGTGTTAATGGGCCTAATCCTGTTTAATGATTTAAGTCATCTGGGTGTCCCATCACTAATCAGGGGCATCCCAGTAATTTCTTGTACCTTGTACTATA